CAGGGGATCTGACTCCCTCTTCTGACCTCCTCGGGCATTGCAGGACACGGGTGCACTTACGTACATGCAAGTAATACATATAAAATTACATACGAAATAATTATCCTTGCCAGATAAATGCAAATTATACTAGAAAGGAAGTATACTTATAGCCATCAGAGCCCAGAAATGAGAAAGACGGATGTTACGGGAACAAGGCGATAGTTCCCCAGTAGGAGCCACCAAGGGTGTAAGCAGGTATGCTGCCGACACAGGGGATCCTCGGCCATGTGCTCCATGGCACAGAAGTGCAAGTGTGGCAGCAGGAGGCACGGCCTGGAACTAAAGTGTCCCAGACCAGTAGAGCCACCAAGGGTGTAAGCAGGTATGCTGCCGACACAGGGGATCCTCGGCCGCGTGCTCCATGGCACAGAAGTGCAAGTGTGGCAGCGGGAGGCATGGCCTGGAACTAAAGTGTCCCAGACCAGTGTGAATCCCAGTGCCCATCACAAGGAGAATGGATGGAAAACCACAGACACACTCAGCAGAACTCCCTGGGCAACATGGAAACCCTTCCTCTTTAAAAGCTGATTATCATGTAATTGGTTGCAATAACAGAGAACAATTACAAGCTTTGAGGCAGAGATGATCAGCAGAGACAGAGCTAGGGCCTGGAATATTTTAAAAGAAACTATTTATGATGGTTGTGTTTCAATGATTTGATTTATTTATATTTTATGAGTGTTTTACCTGCATGTATGTAAGTGCACCCATGTTGTGCAAAGCCCACAGAGATCAGAAAGTGTTGGAGTCCCTGGAACTGGAGTTACGGACGGCTGTTAGCCACATGGGTATCATGTGGGTGCTGGGAATTGTAGGTCCTCTGTAAGAGCAGCCAGTGCTCTTAACTGCTGAGCCATCTCTCTAGGCACAATTTAAAAAATTATGTGCTGCATGTATGTAAGTGCACCCATGTTGTGCAAAGCCCACAGAGATCAGAAAGTGTTGGAGTCCCTGGAACTGGAGTTACGGATGGCTGTTAGCCACATGGGTATCATGTGGGTGCTGGGAATTGTAGGTCCTCTGTAAGAGCAGCCAGTGCTCTTAACTGCTGAGCCATCTCTCTAGCCACAATTTAAAAAATTATGTGTGTGTGTGTGTGTGTGTGTGTGCACTTGTGTGCACAGCTGCATGAGGCCAGAAGAGGACTTCAGATCCCTAGGAGCTGGAGTTCCAGGTATTTGTAGGTCTTCCAACTTGTTATATGGGTGCCGGGAATCAAACGCTGCTCCTCGGAATTACACAGCCAGCACTCCTAACTGACAAGCAATCTCTCCAGCCTCTCATATGAATATTTTAATGCATTTCTACTAGTGATAAATTCTGCATATGCTATATCCAAAATTTTTTTTACCTCATTTTGTTTACTTATTTTATTTATTGTGTGTGTATGTGGGGTTGTACATGCGTGTGTGTGCACACAGGCCAGAGACCAACCTGGATTATCATTCTTCGGTTTCCATTGTTGACTTGTTTGGTGGTGGTTATTGAGAAAGGACCTCTTGCTGAGACCTGGGACTGGCTCTGGCTGGCCGGCCAACTCCAGGAGTCCTCTTGTCTCTACCTTCCCCTTCCCGGTACTGGGATTACAAATGCATGTTACTACATCAGGCTTTTTGTTTAAATAAATTTTTTAATATTTTTTATTATTATTTTTATTTTACATGTGTGAGTGTGTCGCCTGCATGTATGTGAGTGCACCTGTATCGTGCAATGTCGTGGAGGTCACAAGGCTTCGGATTCCCCTGGAACTGGAGTTAATGCACCAGGCTTTTTATGTGGGCTCTGGGGACCGAGCTCATCCTCGTGGCTTTGGAGCAAGCACTTAACCCATTGAGCCACCTCCGCAGCAGCCCTGGCCTCACTTTGAATATTGCTTTCATTTGTTGAGAAATCCCTCACTGGTAATTTTCTTTTAGCATTTTACTTTTTAAATTGACTTGCTCACTCATTCATGTGTGATGCTAGAGAAATTAGAGCCTCAGGGATGCCAGGAAAGGGCTGCACCACTGACCCGTCCCCCAGCCCCGGCTCTTCGAATATGTATACCCAATATTTATGAATCTGTTTTTACTGACAAATCAGCTGAAAGTCTTTTGCTCCTCTGAAGGATATGTGACATGTTTCCACCCATGAGGACATTTGATTTCTACTGTTACGTTTTTTTCAATTCTAATGTTTCCCTTGATCTCCACTTTTATAGGGCCTAGATC